TCAGCAATGCTTCTACCTCCCTGCATAAGATACCTATGTATTTGCATAGGGGCTGTGCACAAATTTAACCCATTTAGTCTTTCTTTTGATCCAGTTGCGTCTGGATATATATACCTTTAAGTTACTGACATGTTGTCTTCTAATTCCAGTCCACCAGAATTTGATGTGTCGGAAATCGAGACTCTTTTCTCTGCCGCAGCCCCAAAGACAGATAGTTCAGGTGGCAAAACCGGAGCTAAGAAGCCTGCTGGATCTAAGCCTGTCAAAGTCCAGCTGGTAATGTTGTAAGAAAATGAAATATGAGCCATGTTAATTGTCAAATTTGCAAATTTCTTGATCCTTCACAATTTAAATCCTTTCTGTAGATTGACCTAAAGAGGGCCTATAACGTTGAAATCATGCTCACTAAAGTTAAAATGCCACTGCCTGATATGATGGTAAGCTAAGATGTTATATATATATATATATATATATATATATATATATATATATTCTCTCAATTCATTTTAACCCTCGACTTCGCAATGTTGTTCGTCACTTGACAGGCTGCTGCACTTGCAATGGATGAAACGATATTAGATGCTGACCAAGTAGAAAATCTCATAAAGTTTTGTCCAAAAAAGGAAGAAATGGAACTTCTCAAGGTAATTAAGCTTCATTCAGCTCCTCGTGTATTTTCGCAGTTTGTCGTATTCATAACACGATCGATTACTTTCTTTTAATTGATTTTTAGCATTATGACCTTTTAGGGATACACAGGTGACCCGGAGAATTTGGGGAAGTGTGAACAGGTCAGTGAACTTGTTCTGAACTTCCGTATTTGCATGTGAGATTTGAATTAAATGATAGGAGATTGTAGTTTCGTGTTATGTGAGATTTGGACCGCGAGAGTTATTTTTTTTTTCGATCTCTATTGTTTTTAGCCGCATTATGTATTGGTCGGTTTTTGACTGTCGGTGCATTTCTCCGTCTGCGTCGGAATAAATATGCTTATGACGAACCTTGTCTTTAATATTCAATATGGATGTTCCTGCGCGAATCTCAGCATTTTCGTCAATATTTTTTCTAACATATTGAACCATCATCTATTTTTGTTGACCGGGTGCATTGTTTGATTCCCGTCTTCGACCTTTCAGTTTTTCTTAGAGCTGATGAAGGCACCACGAGTGGAATCTAAATTAAGGGTTTTCTTATTCAAGATTCAGTTCAACTCTCAGGTATGTCCGACTTTTACGAAATTCTGGAAATTACATTCGTTTGCATGTTTGCCAAAATTTCACATTCTATCTCAGGTTTCTGATTTCAGGAAAAGCTTGAATATCGTAAACTCCGCTTGTCAAGAGGTAAAACGAAGAACTCTAGTGAATATTCGTTGTTCTTTCTTTTTTATTTTTGTAACTTGAGTAACTCTATTTTTCTCATGCAACAGGTCCGGAACTCCCACAAACTGAAAGATATCATGCAAAGAATTTTGTATCTTGGAAATAAATTGAACGAGGGAACTGCTAGAGGTAAAATACCCTTATTCACTATATCAAGTTATGAGATTCTGCCCAGTGCACCTATGTGGTTGGCTGCAGATTCCTTCATTACGAAAAAAAAAAAAAAAAATAGTTATGAGATTCTGGAGCTACGAATGCCGCGGGGTTACTTCTGGCTCTTCCGTTTCAGATTTTCAATAATGGGGTTATTCAGAACTTCAGTTTCTTCATTATAGACATCAACTAACATATTATTCTGTCCACTCATCACGAGTACTTGGTTAATTCCACCAGACATAGAGTTTTAGATTAAAAAGTATAAAGTTTTATGCACTTTTGCATTTCTAATAGTTAGTGGTATTCATTATTATTGTGAAGATAGTTTTTTTCTTACATAATTCTACTTAAGGAAATGAAGTCTTATTTTGGATGGTTATGAAAAAGGAACTGGGAACAATAAATTTAGGACAGCAAAAGTATTAGGTCTTTTAAGTATTGCAAGTTTGATATTTATTCTTGCAGAAAACAGTTTCATGTTCTAAAATGCGCCAAAGTTGAGAAATTCTCTCTTCATTTAGGTTCCGCAGTCGGTTTCAAATTGGATAGTCTTTCGAAATTAGCGGATACACGTGCATCCATCGGCAGGATGACACTCATGCATTATCTTTGTAAGGTATCTTCCCATTTCCATTTTACCTTTTTTTTTTTTTTTTTTTTTTTTTTTGGCTTTTCAATTGTATGTTGTTTCTCCTTCAGATATCTCTGGTATAACTTGAAAATCTTGAATCAAATCGAACTACATCCCTGTCACGATAAATGCTACGGTATTTTGGAGTGTGAAACCATAGTTTCGGGAGTGTATAACCATAGAGTTATTTGTATGGTTAGTAATAGGGAAAGGAAAGTATGTACAAATAGTGATTCAACGGCAAGGAGAAATGTTTATATACTAAGGGCTCGTTCAGTTACCTATATTGGATTAGATGAGATTGGATTAACTCCCTATTGACTAATTAATTATTTAGTTAGTAGCATGTTTGGTTTCTTAGATTCGATCTTCTATTAAATTTGTTAAATTCAGTTATTGTATATGAATTTTCTATAAAACCACTTAGTATACAATAATAAGATATGATTTTAAGGATAAAATTGTCTTTTTCCTTTTTAGTCACCCCTATTAAATTAATCTCGGGGGAGGGGTGCTACTAATAAAAATGAAATAGTAGCATTTAATAGCAGACTTTGATTTTAGTAGCGGGTTTGAGAAAGTGTGAAACTTGCTAACCGTACGTGTTATTAGCCCCCTACTATTTAGTCAGTAGAAACTTATTGCGGTAAGCAAAAGGTGAATATTTGTTGTAGAATGTTTAGAAATGGAAACTTTAAGTGAATGTGGTTTTTTGTGTGTTCTCTTTCGTTTTTGGTTTCGCAGTTACTTGACAAAAACGACCGCTCGGATCTTCTAGACTTCCACAAAGATTTTATTAACTTGGAAGCTTCCACAAAGGTTATTAATATCCCAGTTTTGCGAATAAACGATAGTTCAACCGAGTGTTCGATATAGACTTTGAAGATAAACAACGACTTCTCTTTGCAGATACAATTGAAAACTTTGGCAGAAGAAATGCAATCCATTATCAAGGGTTTAGAAAAGGTAAAGCAGGAATTGGCTGCTTCAGAGAATGATGGTCCCGTATCTGCGATTTTTCACAAGGTATTTCTAGCTTCCATGCATCGATACGTGTTTTATTACTAGATTATTTAATCTTATCTTGGCTAATGTTATCCTGGCAACCAAACAAGGCACTAGGAGATTATTTAATCCCTCTTTTGTTGATAAAATAAAAAGATTTCTATAAGGATCTTTTTATGATGTCTTAACAAAGAGATGCTTCTTCCGATTTTTTGGCAGACGTTGAAGGAATTCGTTGGTGCTGCTGAATCTGAAGTGGCTTCTGTAACGAATCTATATGCTGTTGCGGTAAATATTCACCTGAATTATCATGTAGTAGATTTTCTTCTGATTATATGGGCCGCGTCTCCGATTATGTTATTATTTCATTGAAAAATTATTTGGCAGGGAAGAAATGCAGATACACTGGCTTTGTATTTTGGTGAAGATCCCACAAAATGCCCGTTAGAACAAGGTACAACAGAACCTCGATAAATTAATAACATCGCTTAAATAATAATTTTCTTCCTGTCCCCACTCGGTAAAAACGTACTAAATTATTAGTTAGATTATTTAATATTTTTTTTTTGAAGTTAATTGTATTTTGCTAGTCCCGACTGTATTAATTTTGACATTGCATATTTTGCTGAGTTAATGTCTTTATTATGTATCCAGTTACCGCAACCCTCTTAAACTTTGTGAGGTTGTTCCAGAGAGCGCATGAAGAGAACTGTAAGCAGGCCGAATTAGAAAAGAAGAAAGCTCAGAAGGAGGCCGATGAAGAAAACGCAAAGTCAATAAAACAAGCAAAGAACGAAGTGCAAGACTGAGTTTGCTTTGCTTTAATATTTCCACAAAGATATCAGTGATTCTTTCACAACCGGTCAACATACGTCAAGTTACGAAAAAACGGTTGGTTGACCCTCGGAAAATATTGGGTTTACGGGTTCGAAGAAAACGGAGTGAACGGCGGGGGGGAGTGCTTTCGATGATGGGCTCGTAAGTCTCGGATTGCACTTATCGGGATGGATTGGTTATAACCGAGTTATAAAAAGGTCGTCCCTTTTTTTATCTATCCCAAGAGGTGTTATCACACACACACGGGGCGGGATTTGGATTGATTGGTGATACGGGCTCGTCTTTCGTTTTGAAAGCATGCATGGTGCATCGGTTTCCTTTATATCCCTCGCATTCGCCACGTCAGCTTTTGCGAGGGGATCGTAATTTTCAGAATGCTGACACGTGTACAGAGCACTAACCGTGTAGTTTTAACTAGACTAACACTAATTCTTTAATTTGTTGTAGGATAGGAAAACTGGATTTGGTTCCTTGTACTAGTCAGGTCAAAATGAGGAGCCTGAAAATTTTGTTGTATAAATAGCATTAGAGGGGTTAAATATTTAGGAGAAAAATTAGGGGTTTTTTTTAGTGAATAGAGATTTAGTCAACTTACATGATTTAATTTTTAAGAAATTCAGATATGTTTCATTTTTTTTTTGGAATTTCTTGATTTGAATATATCAATCAATTCATATATTAATGAAAAGAAGAGCAAAATTTTGTGCATATAGTGGAAATGGCTGTTGATTTGGTAGGGAGTTAATCCTAACCATACAATTTACGCAACACACGCGAAGATGTCGTTCCAAAACGTGATATAATTTTCAAACGAAAGATACAATTTGCCGCAAATGCTTTGACGGAAAGGGTAGTAAGCTACGCAGTCAGGGAAATCAGTATGCGTATGCGATCAAAAGATGTCATTTTCAGTGATATTTTTGCCGTTATATCTTGAGAGACGATTTCTGTTAAAGCCGTAAACACCGTAGAGGGGAAATTTTGTCTTAAAAGAGACAACTCTCGCCTCAGCAAATTTATTCCAAAGGAGATTTTGCGACAACAAAAGATATATCATGAGTTCATATAGGTAAAGTTGAAAAATTAATCAAACTAATCCATATTTATTTTAAAAATCAATGTATGTGACCGTTTACCGTGACGATAACTCGTTAAACTTATAAATCAAGCTCCATATAGAGTTCATAAGCTCAAATAAGTTGCAGAAACAAACATTTAAGCCTCTTGAAATATCTAACTTGAATAATATATATATATATATATATATATATATATATATATATATAATAACAAAAAAGTACAGGGTGACGAGGTGGATGTTGATAAATGTTTTTGACTATCAATCAATTCGTGCAACAAAGGTAAATAATTATTGGTTTCTCAGATAAATTCTGTTGAGCATGAAAATGGAAATCAAGTGGTACAATTGTAGGGGCCGGTACCCCCCTCCTCATTCAATTTTGATCCATACATTCCCTCTTGTGAAGGATGACATGACAATAATTGCTCTTTAATGTTGTCCTTTATTATTATTATTATTATTATTATTATTATTATTATTATTATTATTATTATTATTATTATTATTATTATTATTATTATTATTATTATTATTTATTTTTTTTTTTTCATTTTTATTTTTTTTATTAATAATTGAAACATTGGTTGGTTACAATATTTGGCTCATAAAAACTCATAGAAATTCATTTCCTTTTGTATTTATTAGTTGGCACTTGTACAAAGTACTTTTGGGTAAACATCAAAATCATCCCTGAAGTTAGCACTCAACTTCAAATTCATCCCTGAAGTTCTAATTGACTTCAATTTCGTCCTTCCATGTCTCATATCACCGGTAAATTTGGGAAGACATAAATAAATACCAAAACTACCCTTTATTAAAAGGTGACCTTAATTTGATGGAAAATAGTTTTAAAAACTAGTCGTTGGAAAAAAAAAATGTTGGGGAAAATTTTAGTTTCTATAAATATGAACACAAACAATCCATAGAAAAACATCATGCATTCATCAAGAGGCATAACCCTAAATATTTGTTTGGTTCAGAGATGGAGCCCTGATCTTTTTTAAAATTTGTCTTATAAAATACCATAAAAAGTAAACATTTATTAAATTTAATTAAAATAGTATATACTCAATATATATTTAAAAAGGTAGTTATTGAAATTCTTTTTATTAGGTTAATTTTTCTGCAATTTGCGTGGAATATGTAAGATCAACTAGTTGAATGTGTATTAATAGAAGATGAACTGGAAAAAAATGACGGCTTGCCTTTCTTTAATGATAGAAATATAGAGCCTAACTATCAAATTTATATATTAAATAATGTATTAATTTTAGGAAAAATTTGACAAAACCCACCATTACACAAATGTTATTACAATGAGCCCAATTTTATTTTATATTTTTAAGATAAATTTAAAACAGTTTTTATTAATTAAAATACTTAATTATCAGTTTATCACCATTATACCTCTAACTAAGGAATAACATATATTTAATTTTTTATATTAAAATATATATATTTTTTTGACGCTAATTTTTGAACCATCTTGTCATGTTAACGGTTCGGAATAACTGTGGCTTCCTAGAAAGAATATGTTTTTATTCTCTAGTCTGTTTCTTCCTTTAGAACAACAATCTCCATTGTTAGGTGGGCTTGGTGTAAACGGTGAACAAACGATAATTTTCGAGTGCATTTAGAGCGGGATTTGGGGGCATAATTTTTGGAAGGATTTTTCAGTGCTATCAATTAGGGGGATCTGCATTTATCAATATATTTTTATTTTTATTTTTATTTTTTGGAATAATTAGTTGGGGCATATAATGTATTTTTTGATAATTGAATTTATAGCAAATATCAATTGGCGGCGGTTATATGCAAGCCCATTTTTTTATTAGTTCAAGACCTCCAACATAAAAATATTAATTTACCCTTAATGAAATTTAAAATCAAATAAAAAACACAAAACATTAAAAAAAATCATTTCATTTGTGCAAGACCAAATAAAATACATAAATCCAGAAATCCGTCTTCCTTATTTCACGACTTAAAAATCTCCTTCTTCTCCTTCTTCTTCACAAATCCACCAAGAAATCCTACACACCAAAAAATTATCAAATACATACCAAACATTCACGATGGAACCAGAAAACAATGATATGGTGGTTTACGAGGGTGAAGAACACAATGAAATATGTTTTAACCGTTTATTTTTGCTTTTGGGTCGTTTTTTTTTTGTTAGGAAAAAAATTCGACGATACCAAAAATCGGTCTGCAAATACCGATTTTTGTTACTAAAGTCGGTAACCACATTCCGATTATTTTAATAAAAATCGGTACTTAAAAACCGATTTTTGTAGTAAAAATCGGCATGACAACACCGATTTGTTTTTGTATTATCGGTATTGTCATGCTGACTCGTACTACAAAAATCGGTTTTTAAATACCGATTTTATTATCTGTGTTTTTTTAAGACCGTTTTCTTATACTTTCGTGCATCAACCTAGAGGATTGATAGAGGATTATTCAATGAATTATCTAACGAAAGCTCTACTCGATTGGGTTAAAGGAGTGGTAGACGCCACCGAATGGTGATAAACATTTTCGTTTCAAATATTTAAAGAATATCAATTAATCAAATATACAATGTATTATTTAGAGAAAAAAAAATGCAAAAAATATCGGTATCCGAAAACCGATTTTGTACTCAATAATCGACATTAGAACGCCGATTTTGACTTGTAAAGTCGACGTTGTGTCGCCGATTTGAGTAACAAAAATCGGCATTATGACGCCGATTTTCGTGTACAAAATTGGTCTAGATAAACCGATTTGAGAAACCAACGAAAAAAAATAAAAAAAAAACCAATTCCAATCTCAATTTTTTTCCAAAATCGGCCAAATCATTGCAACCCAACAAGAAATAAGCATATATTAATGTTCATTCATACACAGTTATCAAGAATCGATGTTCGATTAATGTTTTCGAATTTACAAATAAAAATTTAGTGAAAAGTACATCGATGCTCGATTAATGTTTTCGAATTTACAAACAAAAGTTTAGGAAAAAGGACTTACTTGTTAGTGGTGGTGCGGTGGTGGTAATGGTGCGGTGGGTGGATCGCTGGTCATTGCCGGTGCGGTGGAAGCCTCGCTGGTCGGCGTCGCAGCGGCAGTCGTGTTATTTTTTATTTTATTTTTTTATTATTTTATTTTTTTGGTCTTGAACAAATTAAAAATATGATTTATTTGTATTTGAATATTATTTGTAGATAAGGGTATATTTGTCATCTTTGGACTGATGTAATAAAATTAAATTAATTTACGGGCTTGAACTAATAAACTCATTTATGTGGTTTTGAACTAATAAAAAAATGGGCTTGCATATAACCGCCGTCATATCAATTATAAAAAATGGATTTAATAAAAAGTCAAAAAATGATGGAATTTTATCAAATAGCTCCTAAATTTTAATTAGAGTCCATGTTAATAAAATCATATATATAATCTTCATAGAGAAAAATAATAAATATTATTTTTCTTTTGAATAGATGGAGCCAAATAGTTGATAAAAGTGGTAAAGGGCAGTATTGGGAGTTCAGAAAATTTCTTCTTATTTGGCCGGTGAAACAATGCTTGAAGGATGAAATTGAAGTTCAATAGAACCTCAGGGATGATTTTGAAGTTGACAGTAAATGTCAGGGATGATTTTGAATTTTACCCAGTACTTTTAGTTATTTGTTCTTTTATATTTAAACTATTATTAAAAAATGATTGGGATTTAATCGACCTTTACATCCAATAATCGATTAATGCTTCGATTTAATGAACTTTAAACACCTTGGCTATGTATGTTACCGTTTTCAAATTCTTTCCACACTTTCCCCAAAATGAAAATTATCTTTCTACACTATTTTCAAAAACTTTCCTCAAAACAAATTCAAATATTTCTCTCTCTAACAAACATGATTTGACCACTACAGTGAAAATTGTCTTCACTAAAATACAAAATCAAATCACTTTATCTTTTAAATTCTTCTTCCAAAATACATTTTTCCAACACCTTTCAGACATGATTTGACTTGCTACAGTACAAATTGTCTCCTCCCAAAACACGGGGCAATTTTTTTTTTGGGGTTGTTTTGTTTTGGAGTTTTTAAAATGAGGTTATTTTTGAAGTAGTAATTAAATTGGTGGTGGCGGCACCGGGAGGAGACGCCGCCACCAGTGGCGTCTTCTACTTTTTAAATTATTATTTTAATAATTTAATATTTTAATATTTTAATATTTTAATATTTTAATATTTTAATATTTTTTAATATTTTATTATTTTAATATTTTCTTATTTTTTAATATTTTAATATTTTCTGATTTTTAATTTTTTTTTACAAATAAAACAATTCTAACTACATTTTATTAAATTTATTACATTTTATCAATTAGATTTATTACATTTTATCAATTAGTGTTAAATTAATCAGTGCATATATTTATCTAATCAACACTAAAAAATATGTAGACAAAAACAAAAGGAGTTTCTAGAAAATAAAAGAGTTATATAAAATAAATAGGTCCAATAAAAGAGTTATATAAAATAAATAGGTCCAACATATCCATAAATGGA